CCCTCTCTCTACCCCTCCCCTGCTCACACTCTGTCTCTATCTCTCAAAAATAAATGTTAGGGGCGCCTGGGTGGCTCAGTTGGTTAAGCGGCCGACTTCGGCTCAGGTCATGATCTCGAGGTCCGTGAGTTCGAGCCCCGCGTCGGGCTCTGTGCTGACAGCTCAGAGCCTGGAGCCTGTTTTGGATTCTGTGTCTCCCTCTCTCTGACCCTTCCCTGTTCATGCTCTGTCTCTCTCTGTCTCAAAAATAAATAAACGTTAAAAAAAAATTTTTAAAAAACAAAAATAAATATTAAATTTTTAAAAAAAGAAAGAAAGAAAGTTTTCGGGGCACCTGGCTCAGTTGGTTAAGCATCTAACTCTTGATGTCAGCTCAATGTCAGCTTGATGTCAACTCTTGATGTCTTGATCTCAATGTCTTGATTTCAAGGTTGTGGCTTCAAGCCCTGGGTTGGGCTCTGTGCTAGGAGTAAAGCCTACTTAAAACATAGCTAGCTAGCTAGCTAGGGGCACCTGGGTGTCTCAGTCAGTTAAGCCGTAGACTTCAGCTCAGATTATGATCTCACAGTTTGTGAGTTCAAGCCCCACAGAGCCCACTTTGGATCCTCTGTGTCCTTCTCAATCTGCCCCTACCCTGCTCTTGTGCTCTCTCTCTCTCAAAAATAAATATTTAATGAAAAAATAAATAAAGTAGAAAGTTTGCTCTTTTCTGCCTCATTCTGTTGATTTGTGACGGTATTTTTCATTTGCGACTTAATGTCATTCTAAGTAAAAATTAAAATTTTAGATTGGTATAACATTTAGCATTCATCTTTATATTATGTAATGTCCTTTTTTCCACTTTTTAAAATTGAAGTGTAGTCGACACATGTTACCTTAGTTTCAGGTGTAAAACACAGTGATTCAGCTCCTCCATACATTATGCTGTGCTCACCACGAGTGTAGCTACCATCTGTCACCTTGCAATGCTGTTACACTACCACCGACTCTCTTCCCTGTGCTGTGACTTATCCATGCCATAACTGGCAACCTATGTCTCCCACTCCCCTTCACCCATTTTGCCTACCCCCCACCCCTTCAACGTGTGTTTTTGTTTTTGTTTTTGTTTTTTTTAACGTTTATTTATTTTTGAGATGGAGAGAGACAGAGCATGAACGGGGGAGGGCCAGAAAGAGAGGGAGACACAGAATCGGAAGCAGGCTCCAGGCTCTGAGCTGTCAGCACAGAGCCCGACGCAGGGCTCGAACTCACGGACCGTGAGATCATGACCTGAGCCGAAGTTGGACGCTCAACCGACTGAGCCACCCAGGCACCCCTCAACGTGTGTTTTAAATGCCAGTATAAGAGTACTATTAAACTTATGTGCAGAATAGTAAAGTTACACAATCTATATTTTGTTTCTCACACATGCTTGTGGATTTGGTTCCTACCAGGACAGTGGAAGTGCCAGACAAAACCAATTCAACTGTTTTTATTTCACCACATGATGACATTCTACCAACACTCTACCTCTGGTTTACTGAGGAATAAGTAAAAACTTGAAAAGAGGAGGAACTTTGAGTTTCCATCTTTCCCTTTCTTTGTATGTTATCATATTTTGCAAACATGGTTGGCTAATTCAGGGAAGTACATGCATAAGGATATGATGGGATTCTTTCGTCATTTGTTAAATAACTAACATTATTTACATTAAAATTTTTTTTTAATGTTTATTTATTTTTGAGAGAGACAGAAATAGAGCGCAAGCTGGGGAGGGACAGAGAGAGGGAGACACAGAATCCAAAGCAGGCTCCAGGCTCCAGGCTCCGAGCTGTCAGCACAGAGCCCCACGCGGGGCTGGAACTCACGAACTGTGAGATCGTGTGACCTGAACTGAAGTCAGATGCTTCACCAACTGAGCCACCCAGGCACCCCAACGTTATTTATATTTAGAGCACCATTACTTTCTTTCTGCATTCAAATCAAGTTCTGGGTCAAGCAGAAAGCAAGTCCTCTCAGGGCTCTTTGTGCCTGCCGCCCTCTGTTATAGATGGAACTCACTTACCTTGTGTCTGCCTTGAGTAACACTGAACTCCCCGACATCATGGGGATCCATAGTAATTCTGCACTCATGGGACATCAAGAATGTCACATGCAAATGGAACAACAAGGAAGAGTAGATACTCATATTATACCTGTCTTTACTTGCACACATGCTCCCATCAATGTAGTGTAAAAATCCAATACAAAGATAAAATTATTAAAAATCTCGGCAATAGAGCATTCAAACAGGTGTGGTGTGAGTATACGGCTCTTGCATTCTTTTTGTTTTTTAAAGACTTTATTTTTAAGCGATCCCTACACTCAACATGGGGCTCAGACTTACAACCCTAAGACCAAGAGGCATACGCTCTGCCGAATGACCCAGCCAGGCCCCTCATCTCTTACGCTCTTAAAGCAGGCCTTGCTCCTTGCTCTGTGTACACCATGGGGAAGGACGGTCTGCTCGAGGAGCTGTAACACACACCCTTCGGACTGTGCTGTTGTTCTCACCATACAGTCTCCACCTTTGGTGAGGAGAGGGTTAATATTTGTTTGTGGAGTTACCCATCCCGAAAGATCAGGAAAGGGAACCGTTCTTTTCTTAAGTCATTCAGCACATAGGTATTGATTCCCTCCTGTTTGCAAAGCACAAACTCCTGATGTTTAATTATCCAATTTGATCTCAATAGAAATGGAGTTAACAATTGATCATGAGGAAGTGTCCATAAAATCTCAACAGTATGGGGTTTGGAAAGTTTCCATGTTGGTGAACACCTCTGCATATTGGGAGGATGAAGCCTTTGGAACCCTCCCAACCTTATCCTATGTAGACCTTCATCTGGCTGTTCATGGGTATCCTTTATCATGTTTTCATAAACTGGTAACTCTCTGTATTTCCTTGAGTTCTATAAGCTGTTCTAGCAAATAATCAAATCCACAGGAGAGGAGGTCATGGGAACCTCTGATTTTTTTTAAAAAAGACTTTTTTTTTTTTTTTTTTTTTTTTTTTAAGTAATCTCTACATCCAGTGTGGGGCTTGAACTCACAACCTGAGATCAAGAGTCACATGCTTCACTGACTAAGCCAGCCAGGCGCCCCGAGAACCTCTGATTTTAGCCAAGTTGAACAGAAGTTGTGGGTTACCTGGAGACCTACTACTTAAAATTGGCATCTGAAATGGGAGACAGTCTCTTGGGACTGAGCCCTTAACCTGATCTGATCCCATCTCCAGGTAGATGTCAGAATTGAGTTCATTTGCAGGATGCCAAGCTGGTGTCACAGAATTGCTTGATGTGGGGAAAAAAATTTTTGCACATCTGGTGTCAGACGTGTTATGAGTGTGGTAGTTCTGTGAGAATAAAGGAGAAACACAGTACTGAGGGTTTTCACCCCACACATATTGCTAACATACTTTCTCCTTCTTAAGGGCTACTAGTTAGTGACATATTCCTGGGAATACAATACAAAATATAAAGCTTCAATCTTCAATGTTTTACAAGCTCTAGGTGAGAAATACCAATAATAGCATAATTTACACCATGTTGGGGAGCCTGCCATAATCTCTTACTTATCTCTGTAGTCCTATCCTGTGAATCCTTTGCAATGTCACTTCATTTATTACCCTGACATCTTCCAAGGCCAACCATCTTTCTCTCCCCACTCCCTCCCCACTTCCTTCCTTCCTTCCTACCTTCCTTCCTTCCTTCCTCCCTTCCTTCCTTCCTTCCTTCCTTAAATTCCACTGGAGTACAGCAGGTGATTTATGCCAAAACAATTGATTCGATTCATATTTTTTTCCGGTTGGTTATTAGGTCAGATAAAGCCAGATAAATACAGGTCAAAAACTTATTCTATTTCACCATCTCTCTGATCATTAAGATTAAAGTCATATGTGATTATTCATTTATCTGTCAAATATGTATTGATGACATAGGCTAGGTGGTAAAACAGTAGTGGGCAATGTAAACATGCCTCCTGCTTTCATAGAGCTTACACTCTAGTGGGGAAAAAAATAAATATATTAGTTAACAAATAAGGTACTTTCATCTAAAGTTAACGGCCATCGGAAAAAAATCAAATGCATGGTTTTTTGATTTGGGAAGCTAATTTGGATTGAGGGTCAGTTAAGCCTTTCAGAGGAGGTGACAATTGCACTGAGACCTAAGCTAGACCTTCTCAACCTACAATTTGCATAGGAATCACGTGGTGATCTTGTATAAGGCCTGTTATGATTTAGTAGGTGAGGGGTTATGTGCCAGTTTCTGCATTTCTTACAAGGTCCCATGTGATCCCTATGGTGCTTGTTCGTGGAGCACTTGTGGGGAAGAAAGGCCAGTGAGAAGAATCTAAAGAGAACTCCAGCAATTCTCTTCTCTGCTGAGAGAGAAAACAGCAATTGCATAGATGCTGAGGTGAGAAGGAGGTTGATGTTTGGGTTCGAGAAATACCGTTTTGTAGAGAGAGGCTAGGAGTGGTGAGTAGGAGATGAGGACTACGCAGCAAGTTCAAAGTGGGCCAAATCACACAGAGCCTTCAAGGCCAGAAGGTTTCCTTTTATTTCAGGGTAGTGGAAGACATTGGAAGATGTCAAGGGGACAAAGAGGAACAGGGTCAGATTGAAGCTCTTGAAGATCAACCTGAAAACCAAGGGATAAAATGAATTTTAGGGGAGCAAGAGCAGGAGGAGAAGAGAGTTTAGGAAACCAGAGTGGCACTCCTTATGTGAGATGTCGGCGGCTCGGACCCAGATGGCAGCAGGGGAGAGCGAGAGCAGCGGAAGGCTTGGATGGTGAGCCGGGAGCAGAACCAGCAGGACAAGTGCATGGATGAGATATAGAGGAGGTAGGAAAGAGACATTAAGGATGTCAACTGGATTTACGTTTTGATCAGCAAATAGCAGGTGACACCGTGTCCTGAGATGTAAAACCAAAGCAAAAACCAAAAGTAAATAAGTAAGTAAATAAATAAATAAAACAAAAACAAAAAACAAAAAACTTACCTTTTTTGTAAGTGGGAAGGGAATATCTTCCAGAGTGACTCTTACATCTAAAGCCTCTGTTTGTATGTGTGCTGGTGCAAATTTCATTTAGAATCTGACATTAGAATCAAGGTAGGAAGGCAAATGCATCTGAGAATTCCTTGATTAATTAATTGATTAGAAAGCCATTCAGGGGGCTCTTTCTCACAAATCCACCCTCCCTCTCCCGGTCACAAAGAAAGAGAAGAAAGATAGATCATCAGTGACAAATGGCCTTTGCAGAAGCAAACTTAGGGCCAGTTTCACTCCAGGAGACAACACTGCCTCTCTCCCTCATGGTTTCCAGTGCTCTACATGTTCATAGAAACTTCTCTAGTAAACAAACTATAAAAATGATGCGTGAAAGTATAGTCTCGCGTCTGCGAGTTTAGAATCATTCGGTAACGTATCATTACAAAAAAGAGAGAGAAACAGTGCTACCCTGATGAGTGATGGAAGTTGTCTGGCAAACAGTGTTTTACATTATAATGTAAATTAAGTAGACTTTTTTTGCCTGAGCCTGGAATTTTCCAATGGAAGTTGATTTCTTAGAATGGGGATGGATGGAAAGTTAGGGTATTTCTAAAGACCCACCAGTAAAATAGCAGTGTTTTACCCTCAGAGATTTCTCCCTGTTGGATTCCCATGAATAATTTCCATCACTGGAAAGAGTTTAAGAAAAAGTTACCTTTTTCCAGTTGAGCCTCTTTTGACACATTTTTCTGGTACCATTAATATGCTCATATTTCCTGTTGGAAGAATGGTTAAGATCTGAATGATTATTCAAATCCTTTTTTTTTTTTCCTTTCAAAGTTATTTTTCCTTGAAGAAGTTTCTTTGTCACTGTCAAGGTTAAGTGAAGTCACTCCTGAAGGAAAAAGCAGAAGGAATTTGGAAAACCATAAACCCCAGTGACCTATCTCAAGAATCCCCAGTAGATCTCAGGGTTTTTAGGGTAAATCATTTTGGGAAAATGTTTTCTTCCTTTGCTCTTAGGTTGACGAGGCAAAAGAAATAATACTGTTTGTGTCCACCTTTGTTCTAGAACAATTTCTCAAAGCAGGTTATAGGATTCCTGGGAATTTCTACCTGAATGATACAAAGTTGCATTTTCACCACCCAAAACCGCACATAGCAGATACTCAGTAGATGTTAATTGAATTACATTGAATTCTAAGAATCTGCTAGAAATCTTAGATCAGTTCCTTTCATCTTACAGATAGTGAGCAGGAAGCCAAGGAGGACAAGTTGAGAGTCTGGCCCCTGGGCAAAAGGACACATGTGAGTTAGGAATCTCACCATTTCCTTTGAAATTGAAGATGCCAGTTTCTTAAGGACACTTTATAGATCAAGGCTCTGAATCCATAAACATCCCCTTTGCAATTATCTTGCTAATTCTTTCTACAGGCAAACTTCTAAGTTTTTTCTTTACTGCTGTGGTAGGATAAGCAAAGATCATCCCCACCCCCGCTCCATCTGGGGAGAGATGTGGGGATCAACAAATTCTATCATAGGAAGTAAACAAACATTCTCAACTTACAGGGACCTTTGTAATGACATGGATCCAGGAAGGAAACAAAAACGACTTTACCACAATAATGCCAAAGTTTTCATCATAGGGCTAGGTGAAAAACATGCTAATGGCTGAAAAGTACTTTGCCTCTGTGTTACTGGCCTGCATTCTCTTTGGCAGATGAGTAATACTGACCGCGGGGTGGGGGGATGGGGAGTGGACATCTGTCCTTAGGTAATTCAGGAGGAAACTGGCCTCTGCTGGCCGCCCTCACGGCCTGAGAGGGAAAGGCACTGAACGTGCACACTGTGTTCCACTACAGGACCAGCCCACGTTCCTCCTACTTGAGAGCAAGCAGCAGGCTGGGCAGAGGAAATCTTCCATTAACATCCAGCTGAAGTCCCAGGCATTAATTTTTGCACTTAAGAAGAGACAGCGACAACTTAGGACGGCTTCTTCTTGTGAGGAATGGGGCAGCTTTCCGTGGCTAAGGGATGGGGATGCTACCTAGGAAACTTAGAGACAGGATGTGAGGAGGGTGACAGAGGCCTGGGGAGAGAGAAGTAGAGAGCAACTGGAACATCCATTCGGTGTAGCTCCTGAAAGCTCGATGTGATTGATCCCTTGTCCTGTCTGCTCACCTCCACCTTTCCCCACAAGGTCACAGGGAGCAGGTTACTAAGACGGGATATCACTATCTGTGCTACTAGGAATGATTTTCAATGCTTACCTAACTTTTGGGGTTACTCCTTCGTCGGTGTTCAAGGGTGTTTAGGCTCAGGAAATTAGGTGTGGTTGTATCTAGGAAACACAACAAACTTCCTGGTCACTTGGTGGGCCTGGGTAGACATGGGTCTAGGAGGGACACAGGCCAGACTCTTTCCCATCACTAAGATAGAGAGGAATTTACAGGCCAGCAGATGACCTCCCCCCTCCCGAGTTGTGTGAGACAAGATACCTACTTTGCCTTGACCTCCCCCTTTGAATGCTAGCCAAGTCCATGCACACGACAGCAGGACAGGAGAGGGGTTCCTGGAACACCCGGTTCACGTGACATTTAATTGTTATTGCAGGTGGTAGGCACATTCTGGCACTGAGCAATCCTTCCACAAATGCTAATTAAATGCCTAGAGATGGCAGAATCCAAGCTTAGTTCTAGGGAAATTAATTCTTTTTGGTCTCTGACCTTAAAGATATCATAATGGATTGAGGAAGATAACCATGATGGGATCATTTGTTTCAACTCAATTGGATTGAAGAGGAGACTATGAAATAAGTCCAGTTAGTTCACCCAAGAGATCAGAAGGACCTGAGCAGGTGCAGCGGCAAGAAGGATGAACTAGAGAGGGAAGCTGAGTCTGAGAGACATTCTGAAGGAATTCCAAATGGCTGCGTTAGGCAGCTGGACACAGTGGGAAAGGGGGCAGAGGGTGAGGGGAAGAAGCTTGTGGGCTCCTGTTACATAATTCTGACCTCATGTACTTAGAGAAACTAAAGTTGAAATTTAAACGTCAATATTGTCCAAGTCAAAGGAAGAACTGAGAAACTCCTCTGACAAGCTTCTGTCATTTATCGCCCCACATGATTTGACTTGACTGAATTGACAGGCAAAGTGTTTTAAATTTGGGGCTTTCGGTGTGAGTTCCAGGGCAACCCCAGCTCGGAATTCCCTTTCGAGGGGTGTCAGAGCTGCTCCTGCCTGTCAGTCCGTAGACTGTCATGACCAAAGACTCAGCACCTCTGGGATAGGGCAGCTTCAGTTGTGGCATCAGGGACTTGGTATTTATTCTGTGTCATGAACGAGGCTGTTGTTTTGCCCTTTTGGACAAGTGTGTGTGTGTGTTGGAGACTGTGTAGATTCTGACAGTTCTAGAAAGGGTGGGGCGGAGGACTCACCTCAGGGAAGGGAAGGAAACAAAGAACGTGGACAGAGTAACTTGTCCAACACTAACAGCAGATACACTGTTTTCCTCCTGCAAAAATGAAACAAATGCCAAGATGAGGAAGATACACGTTCAGTAGGACAGTGAAGTATGGGCTCCAGAATCGGATTGGATTAATCCCCCTAACTCTGGGGCCCTGGGCTGGTTTACCCAAGCTGTCTCAACTCTTAGCTAAAAACCTGGCACATAGTAAGTGCTTAGTAAATATTAGCTTCTACTATTCTAAGTCATTTGGAGCAGGAAAGGGAAATCAGAACTATTTTTCTAAACCTGAACAGGAAGCTAAGAAAAAGTAGCTCTCAAAACAGCACTCCAAAAGCACACGCAACAAAAGAAAAAATAGATAAATTGGACGTCACCAAAATTAAAAGCTTTGTGCTTCATAAATCTTTTTTTTTTTTTAACGTTTATTTATTTTTGAGACAGAGTATGAACGGGGGAGGGGCAGAGAGAGAGGGAGACACAGAATCGGAAGTAGGCTCCAGGCTCTGAGCCATCAGCCCAGAGCCCGACGCGGGGCTCGAACTCACGGACCGCGAGATTGTGACCTGGGCTGAAGTTGGACGCCTAACCGACTGAGCCACCCAGGCGCCCCAAAAGCTTAGTGCTTCAAAGGACATCGTCAACAAAGTAAAATGACACCCCACACACACCATGGGAGATAAGTTTTGCAAACTGTATATATAATAAGAGACATATCTAAAATATATAAAGAACCCCTACAATTCAATAATAAAAATCACACAACTTAATTTTCCAAAACGGGCAGCAGACCTGAATGGACATTTCTTTAAAGAGGACATGCCCGTGGCACATGAGCACATGGAAATGCTTGGCATCTTTACCAATCAGAGAAATGCAAACCACAAGTACAAGGAGACACTACTTCACTTACCCTATGGCTGTCACGAAAATGACAAGTACCAAGTGTTGGCAAGGGAGTGGAGAAATGGAAAAACCGCCCACTGCTTGTAGAAATGTAAAATGGTATGCCCCCCTTGGAAAACAGTCTGGCAGTTCCTGACAAGGTTAAACATAGAGTTACCATATGGCCTGTGTGAGTAGAGCAATTCTTCTTCTGAGCATATACCCGAGAAAAATGAAAATTGTGTGCACACAAAAACTTGCACACGGACATTCATAGCTGTATTATACAGCACAGCCAAAAAGCCCCAAACAACCCAAATGTCCATCAACTGGTGAGTGGGTAAAGAAAATGTGGTCTGTCTATACAGTGAAGTATCACTTGGCAATAAAATGAAATGGGGGCGCCTGGGTGGCTCAGTCGGTTAAGTGTCCAACTTCAGCTCAGGTCATGATCTCATAGTTCGTGAGTTTGAGCCCTGAAGCGGGCTCTCTGCTGTCAGAGCAGAGCCCGCTTTGGATCCTCCGTCCCCTTCTCCCCTCTCTCTCTCTGCCCCTGCTCACTTGCACTCTCTCTCTCTCAAAAATAAATAAATATTAAAATAAAAATAAATGAAGCACTGGTATACACTGTAATGTGCATGAGCCTTGAGAACATTATGCTTAGTGAAGGAAGCCAAACACAAAAAGACCATATTTTGTATAATTCTATTTATGTGAAATCTCCAGAATAGGCAAAATCTGTAGAGACAGAAAGTAGATTAGTGGTTGCCAGGGGCTCGGGGTGTTTGAGGAGGAATGAAGGGTGAACGAGAATGGATATGGAGTTTCTTTTGAGGAGATGAAAATGTTCTAAAATCGATTGTTGTGATGGTTGCGTAACTCTGTGAATATACCAAAATCCATCAATTTATACACTAAATGGGTGAATTGTATGATGTGAATTATATCTTAATAAAACTAAAGAAAAAAAAAGAACAGTACTAGAAGGAGGTATTAGTATGTTAAGAATGTTCCTTGTCAGGGGCGCCTGGCTGGCACAGTGGGTGGAGCATGTGACTCTTGATCTCTGGGTCGTGAGTTCAAGCCCCACGTTGGGTGTGGAGTCTACTTAAAATGAAAATTTTAACATATACAAAAAAGAATATTCCTTGTTCTATTATACCAGAGAGTCTGTGTGTAATAGATGACTATCAAATGAAAAATTTCTAGCGGCTATGCAGAAGACTTCCATTCATGGTCCTGAATGTCCCACATTTTCATTAATGACCCAGAAAAGACCACCTGTGCTGAATATCTTGTTCCTCCAGATCCAGTCTCCACCGTCCACCCGGCTCTCCGTGGAGGCTGATTTGTGTGAACTAGACCAGTGGGCTCCTGTGGCTCATGGTTGATCCAGCAGGAGATGGAATGGAAGGGAGGGGAAGGAGGAATTTGGGGATGTTAACCAAAACACCACTGATGCATATATGGCATAAAGCAGGATCCGAGGACACCTAGACTAAGAACAACGGGGTGGTTCCAACAAGAGAATGTTTAATACAAAGTCCAGGGGAAGATGTGGTTTAATAAAAGTCCAGGTGAAGTTTTCATTATTGCCAACTCACTGTGAATCAAGAGTTCAGAAATGCACACCCCCTGAATAAAATTCTAACATTCTGAAGCCCCAGATAAGGGAATGTTTGCATTCTCTTCCTTTCTGGTCAGAGCACGCTTGGAAGTACTGTGTTCAGCTCTAGGTGACGTGTGAAGAAACTGCTGCAGCGTTTAAAGCATCCATTGTTTTTTGTTGTTGTTGTTGTTTTTTAAATTGTTTCAAGTTTATTTATTTACTTTGAGAGAGAGAGAGAGGGAGAGAGAGAGAGAGAGAATCCCAATCAGACTCTGCACTGTCAGTGTGGACTCACGAACTACGAGATCTTAACCAGAGCTGAAATCAAGAGTCGGGCACCTAACTGACTGAGCCACCCAGGTGCCCCAAATTTTAATGCACCCATTTTATTTTCAGCCCATCTCTTGGGTAGCAGACATGAGCAAATGGGTGCTATGAAATTAGATAATTCGATAGGTAGACATGGGGCTGTTTCTACAATCACCTGTCCCAATTTTTTTTAAGGCTATTTTTTTTTTATTTTGAGAGAGAGAGAGAGCACAAGTGGGGGAGGAACAGAGAGAGAGGGAGACATAAAGAATCTCCAGCAGGCTCTGCTCTATCAGCACAGAGCCCGATGCTGGGCTCAAACCCACAAGCTGTGAGATCATGACCTGAGCTGAAAGCAAGAGTTGGACACTTCACCGACTGAGCCACCCACATGCCCCATACATCTAATTTTTAAGAAATTGTTTTTGAACGAAACTCTCACTTCCATTAAAGTAAATTCTTTCTCAGAAAGAAATTCTAGAATTTTTATACAAATAGACTTAATAATTCACCCTGCAAACCTTAAACAAACCCAGACCTATGTACACATATTAGCCTCAAACCTAGCACATATGGAAGAACTGTCTCATCAATAAAGTTGATCAGAAATATTTTCTCATAAGCTTAGTTTCAAATGTATGGTGACATTCAAATAATGTTAGAATGTTCTTGCTGGAAGTACCTTTGATATCATGTAGTCCAAACCTCTACTGTTGTAGGTAGGGGGATTGAGGCCCACAGATGTTAAATGGCTTGTTCTCATCTGAGTTCTCCTGATTTCTTTAAATTTTTATTTTTAACATTTATTTATTTTTGAGAGACAGAGAGAGACAGAGCATGAGCAGGGGAGGGGCAGAGAGAGAGGGAGACACAGAATCTGAAGTAGGCTCCAGGCTCTGAGCTGTCAACACAGAGCCCAACGTGGGGCTCAAACCCACGAATCATGAGATCATGACCTGAGCTGAAGTTGGAGGCTTGACCGACAGAGCCACCCAGGCATCGCTGAGTTCTCCTGATTTTAACCCAGAATCTACAAACTGTGCTACATTGCCTTCCTGATGAAATCCTGCTACTACTAAAAGTTGATGAGTTTGGACCAACTTGGAGTGGACTTTGTCTTATATTCTCAATGTTTATTTGGTATTTACTTGGAACTTAAAAATATATAGTACTTATAATGTTTTATTGAGAGCTTTTCAAAAAAAGCTTTCCTGATTTTTCATCTTATCTATTCATTACACCAATATTTATTGAGAATTGATTATGTTAGGTCATGTCCAAAGGTAAGCACAACAAACAGAAGAAAAAAGTCTTTGCCTTCACAGAATTTATCTTGTAGTTTTTATTTTTTATATTTGGAGTGGACTTCGAGTCAGTTGAAAGAATTCTTGCATTACTTCCTGTGAAAGCCAGCCTCCAATAATCCTTGCCTCCTGGTATTCACACCATGTATAATGCCCTCCTGTGGTATCCTATGCTGAATGTGTGCTAGAACGCTGTGGAAGTGACAGTGTGTGACTCTGAGTTTCAGTCATGAAAAACATTGCAGCCTCTGTCTTTGCCTCTCTCGGCTCACTTGCACAGGGGAAAGGACCCCAAACAGTTCTGTGGAGAGGCCGCGTGTAGGGAGGAATGAGACCTCCTGTCAACAGCGAACACTTACTTTTCAGCCATGTGAGTGATTCTTGGAAGGTCACTTGGAAGTGGCTCTTTGGCTGTGTCTCGGAAGCAGACCTTTAGCCTCTGAGAAGTCTTCAGGTGACTGCAGCCCTGGCTGGTATCTTAACTGCAACTTCACAGCAGGCTTTGACTCAAAACTTCCAGCTCTGCTGGAATTTATGACCCACAGAAATTGTGGGAAATACTAATGTTTATTGTTCTTTTACCCCACTAAGTATTGGGCTAATTTGTTATGCAGCAGTAGATAACCAATACACCTCCTGAGTTTTAGGAAGGCTTCCTACAAAAGAAGGATCTGGAAAACACGTGCATTTTACGAAGTGAGAAGGAAGCATTATTTTCCCGCATTTCTGGGTCGAGAGAACCAACTTCTAGTGGGAAACACACATACAAACACAGGCCATTTCAAATCCATGGTTTTTGATAGAATGTTCAATGCGTCTGATGCCATCAGAAATTGGGGTTTCGAAATGTGATTAGGCAGCATATAAAGGAGGTCCACATTTACGACACAGGAGAAAGGAAGATCTTCTCGACTACAATAAAGAAGCCTAC